TTTGAGACGTAGTCTCACTCTGTCACCCAGCCACCCAGCCCAGCCTAAAGAATACATTCTACATGGTGTTGTTTATGTGGAATTCAAACATAGGCAAAACAAAATATAGAAGTTATCTAGCTGTACACTTAAATTTACATTTAATGTAAAAGGTTATATCCTGATTAAAAGCAAGTTAAAAAGCCATTTGAAGGTTCAGCACTCTGCTGTAGCTTTGCCTCTGCTCAGTAATGATGGAGGAGGCCATAGTGCTCCAGTCATATACCCATACGTCCAGCCAGGCCTCACTGCCCGGGCCCAAAGAGGAGGAGCTGCTGTGGTTTAAGATCTGCCACTGGGGCTCAGAGACCCTCAGGCATTACTCAGCCTTCTGGTCCTTGCTCAGCAGAATGAAGACCCCCAGTAGGTCCCTATCCCTGACATAGCTCGGACAGGAGACCCATTGGTCCAGTTGTCCCTGGCCAGCAGTGATGCTCTGGGGTTATGGCTGTGAGGTTCTGCAGGAGGTTGTGGTGGGTGAGCAGGCAAGCAGGGAGCAGCGTGAGTGCAGTCTGGAGGATCTGGAAGTTCCCTGTGCCGCCACTCTTCAGCACCAACAAGAACACCATCCTGTCTCACTGCTACTGGTCATAGAGGCTTCTCCACACATGCCCTCGTGGTCAAAGAAATCCACTCCCTGGCTCATTCTTCTAGCGGGTAGTTGGAAAGACCTTCTGGGCATTTGTCCAGTACCCTGGTAACTTACATCTTGTTGGCTTTCCATCAGGAAATAAGGTGTCCTCAATATATAAATATTCCGACTGTGCGCGGTGGCTCATGCCTGCCATCCCAGCACTTTGGGAGGCCAAGGAGGGTGGATCACCTGAGGTCAGGAGTTCGAGACTATCCCAGCCAACATGTTGAAACCCCATCTCTACTAAAAATACAAAAATTAGCTGGGTATGGTAGCAGGTGTCTGTAATCCCATCTACTCAGGAGTCAGAGGCAGGAGAATTACTTGAACCAAAGAGTTGGGGGTTGCAGTGAGCTGAGATCACACCATTGCACTCCAGCCTGGGCGACAAGAGCAAAACTCTGTTTCAAAAAATATGTATATATTCCTTCAGGGACTAAACCTTTCGTGTGACCCATTTAAATGGAAGCCTTCCAGGTATAATCCCTGAGTCTTAATTTCAAAGCCAGCCACCCATATTTATTGAGGTTCCATAAATTAGTTATCTCTCCCAAGCTCAGGGGCATTATTAGACCTGTGTGACAGCCAAAAATTCTATCCCCAGATTCTCTGATTCAGCCTTGGTTAAGATGGGAGGTGGAGCAATAGACCACTGCCAAGCTCACATCCAACAAGGCCAGGCAGAGGCCAAGTCCGGACTGATTTGACGTGTAAAGGCACAGTGAGCCACTTTTAGATTTAGGATTTCTTCTTTACACAGACAGTGAAAAGGAGGACAAGCCTAAGGTGCCAGCCCCTGCGGTCCTTGTCCCCTACACCGAATAGGACAACCCTGAAAGACCCTGAGGGGGCTTGTGACCGCAAGCTTGTGGGAGGCCGTGTAGCTGAGGAGCCTGTTCCAGATGCAGCTGAGGAATTTTATCTTCTACAGCGCTATTCAGAGGAGGGCCTCAGATCTCACAGAAGCCAGGGGCGATGCAGAAGCGTCTCACGGCAGCCTCCAGGGGGCGATGGGAGGCCAATGGGAGGCGGCCTCGTAGCAGCTTCTACAGCCTCTCACCCTCTGGATGATCGCAGGGCGCCCTGCCAAGACTCAGATGAGCTCAGCTGCAGCCTTTGCCACTTGGCCTAAGTCCTTTGGTCTCTGGCCTTTCATGTATCCAGCTAAGGACTCTCAGGGGTATAGCTGCCCCATCAGATACTCTAGTTATTTGCGCTGATAGGGACTTGGACCAAAACTTTTTTTTTTTTTTTTTTTTTTTTTTTTTTTAAAAAATTTTTTTTTTTTAAGACAAGGTCTTACTCTGTTACCCAGGCTGGAGTGCAGTGGTGTGATCTTGGCTCACTGCAATCTCTGCCTCCAGGCTCAAGCAATCCCCCTGCTTCAGTCTCCTAAGGGCTGGGACTATAGACCCATGCCACCATTATAATTTTTTTTTTTGGAGACAGGGTCCTTCTCTGTAGCCTAGGCTGGAATGCAGTGGCATGATCTCAGCTCACTGCCACTTCTGCCTCCTGGGTTCAAGTGATTCTCATGCCTCAGATGCTCAAGTAGCTGGGACTACAGGTGTGTGCCACCATGCCCAGTAAATTTTTGTTTTTTGTTTTTTGTTTTAACAGAGATGGGGTTTCACCATGTTGGCCAGGCTGGTCTTGAACTACTGACTTCAGGTGATCTGCCCGCCTTGGCCTCCCAAAGTGCTGAGATTACAGGCATGAACCACCACACCCAACACCACCATCATTAAACAATTATTTTAAAATTTGTGTATTTTTTGTAGAAATAAGGACGGTTTCACCATGTTGCTCAGGCTAGTCTCAAACTCCTGGACTCAAGTGATCCACCCGCCTCCACCTCCCAAACCACTGGGATTACAAGCATGAGGCACTGCCTGGCCTCAAAATCATTTTTTTGTTTTTTTAAATTAGATACAGGGTTTCACCATGTTGCCTAAGCTCGCTCCCGGGTGAGCGCGCTTACTTGAGGCCGGGGATTGGCTGGCCCACGCCAGGCCCCGGGCGGGGAATAAAAGGGCAATCTGCTTCATCTTGATTCTGCGCATTCCAAACTGTGGTATCCTTGGGGGCTCTTTTAACATTGCCATGGTGCAGAAGATTCAAAATCAGCTGATGTTCACAAGGAATAGAGTCACGTGATGTATGAAGGGAAACATATACACTTCTCTGAGGTTGACAATAAGCCCTTGTGCTCATATGGCCCCAAACTGTGCAAGCAGAGGCGACTCAACGGCTACGCCTGCTGTATCAGACACGTCCTGGAGGACAAGACTGCCCCCTTCAAGCAATGCGAATATGTGGCCAAGTATAATAGCCAACGCTGCACCAACCCCATCCCCAAATCAGAGGATCGTAGGTACTGCAACAGCCACTTTTTTGAGACCGGGTCTTTCTCTGTCACGCAGCCTCACAGCTCACTGCAGCCTCAGCCTTCCTGGACTCACGTGATCCTCCCACCTCAGCCTTCCAAGTAGCGGGGACTACAGGTATGTGCCACCATACCTGGCTAAGTTTTGTATTTTTAGTAGAGACAGGGTTTCTCCGCGTTGCCTAGGCTGGTCTTGAACTCCTGGGCTTAAGCGATTTGCTCCCCTCTGCCTTCCATCCTGCTTAACTGGGCGGGCGTTGCCCTCACCTCTCCTATCGCAGGAACTTTTCCTAGACGATCAGTTCGTGGCTTTGGCGCAGGGAACTCTCCGTATATTGAACCCAACAGAAAGTGGAATGTATGGGTTTTATTAAAAGTGTTTTCTGCTGTTTTGCCTGATATTTTCCAGGAGTCATAGACTACGAATTCCAAATCAGAACTATCTTCATCACGGATGAGTTCTTCAGCTTCTGGTGGATTTACACCCATATGTGTCAGTAGAGATTTAACATATCTTAACATTTCAAACCGGCTCAGGTCTGAGCGCAGCTGCTCTGCTTTCTCTTTGCCCAAATCTGAAGCCAAAACAAGAAAGTGGGCATGCAGGACTGCTTCTCTTGCTCGGGACGCTTGCTCGGGCCAAGAGTGTTGGCCTCTTCAAGGGCCTCTGTTAATCTGTCGCCGGCATTTAGTATGTCCCCCCGGTTTTGTTGGACGGAGTTGATGAGCGCCCGGTACTGATGGTGGATCTGGCCGCACGGGCCTTGGTGGGCCTCCGCCTCCAAGCTGGCGGGGTCTATCATCTCGTCATCGGAATCCGACGGCTCTGTGCTCTCCAGGCTCGAGCGCTCTGGGGCCTCCCTGCGCTCCGGCGCGGCGCCGCGGTGGGCCCCGGCCGACAGAAGGGACCGCGAGCCTGAGCCAGTGCGATCCCGGTGCGGGTCGCGGCCCCGGCCCCCGCCCTCCGGGCCCGCGACCACTGCTATTGGTGAGAATATTTCTTTAAGAAAATCTAGTTTGTGGCCAGGCGTGGTGGCTCACGCCTATAATCCCAGCACTTTGGGAGGCCAAGGCGGGCAGATCACTCGAGGTCGGCAATTCGAGACCAGCCTGACCAATATGGAGAAACCCCGTCTCTACTAAAAATACAAAATTAGCCAGGCATGGTGGCACATGCCTGGAATCCCAGCTACTCAGGAGGTTGAGGCAGGACAATCGCTTGAACCCTGGAGACAGAGGTTGCAGTGAGCCGAGATTGCGCCATTGCACTGCAGCATGGGAAACAATTGCGAAACCCTACCTCAAAAGAAAAGAAAAGAAAAGAAAATCTAGTTTGTTCACTTAAAAGTATGTATTGTCTTTGTCCTGGGAAATCAAGTTAGGTTACTAACCTCATGGTAAGTAACTTATTAACTATGAGGTTACAGTCTTGTTATAATTAACCCTATCTGCTGGACTAAATTTGTACTCACCTTGCCAGTTAGCAAAATTATTTCTAGGCCAGTGGTTCTCATCCTTGGCTCCAACCCCAATTAATGACATCAGAATCCTGAGGAGTGGGCTCCAGCACTGGTGTTTTTTTTTTTTTTTTTTTTAAGCTCACAGGTGATTCCAAGATTGAGAACCACTGTTCTAAATTTTCTTCAAAAATAAAAACAAAGGCTGGGTGTGGTGGCTCATGCCTGTAATCCCAACACTTTGGTAGGCCAAAGCAAAAGATTAGTTGAGTCCAGGAGTTTGAGACCAGCCTGGGCAAAAGAGCAAGACCCTGACTCTACAAAAACTTTAAAAATTAGCCAGTCATGGTGGCGGACACCTGTGGTCCTAGCTACCTAGGAGGCTGAGGCGGGATAATTGCTTGAGCCAGGGAAGTTGAGGCTGCAGTGAGCCGAGATCTTACCACCGCATCCCACCTTGGGTGACGCAGTGAGACCCTGTCTCAAAAATAAACAAATAAAATAACAGTCATTCACGGCTGGGCGCCATGGCTCACACCTGTAATCCCGGCACTTTGGGATGCCAAGGCAGGTGGATCACCTAAGGTCAGGAGTTCAAGACCAGCCTGGCCAACATGGTGAAACCCCGTCTCTACTAAAAGTACAAAAATTCGCTGGGTGCCGGGCACGGTGGCTCACGCCTGTAATCCTAGCACTTTGGGAGGCCAAGGTGGGTGGATCACCTGAGGTCAGGAGTTCAAGACCAGCCTGGCTAACATGGTGAAACCCCATCTTAAAAAAAAAAAAAATTAGCTGGGCGTGGTGGTGGGTGCCTGTAATCCCAGCTACTCAGGAGGCTAAGACAGGAGAATCACTTGAACCCGGAGGCAGAATTTGCAGTGAGCTGAGATCGTGCCATTGCACTCCAGCCTGGTTGACAAAGTGAGACTCTGTCTCAAAAAAAAAAAAAAAATAGTCATTCACTCCAGCAACATGAACTGAGCACCTACTATGTGCAGGCCAGGTCAAGAAAAGGTGATTTAACTTTGTGTTTGAGGAGGCACTGGAGAGATCAGCATGTAAATGGACCCATCACAACACCCTGGAAAGTGCAATAAGAAGGCTATACAGAGGGCACAGGGTGGGGGGAGGTAGGCAGAGGGGGGTGGTGCACAGAGGCAGGCAGAGGTGGTCAGTGAGAGCTGCCTGGAAGAGGTGACCCCGGGGTGAATCTCAAAGCATGGCCAGACACAGCCGCCCTCTGCCTATTGAATTCACTGATTTGCTGAGGGCTGTGGGTAGAGAACAGCTAAAATGGAAAAGCTCACTTAGCAGATCACACACAGGTGTTCCCTGACAAGTTCAACAAGAGAGGTTAAATCCCCAGAGGAACTCAGGATTCAGCGCATCAATAGTCGGGCCCTGGGACAAGTCCCGGAGGAACTCAGGATTCAGCGCATCAATAGTAGGGCCCTGGGACAAGTCCCGGAGGAACTCAGGATTCAGCGCCTCAATAGTAGGGCCCTGGGACAAGTCCTGGAGGAACTCAGGATTCAGCGCCTCAATAGTAGGACCCTGGGACAAGTCCTTGGGGAAGTTGCATTCCACCTCTGCTCCAGGCTCCAAGCTGTTGGAAGACTAATCTTGGCAAAATGGCAAGCTGCCATGGTTCCTGCCTGAGCTGTGATAGTCTTGTTTCTTCCCTGTCTTGTGCCTTTCTTTGGGCTGTAAGGGGCTGAGAATTGATCTTGTTTGATTATCTGGTAACTCCCGGAAGAAGGGATCAGACAAGAAAATTTGACCAAGACCACCCAATGGGCCAAGATTTGGATCCCCTATAAATCTAAAATGAATTCCAGTGAAGGTTAAGGTCAGGGATACATGTACAGCACCTGGGCTGGAGATAGATCTGAGGTCAGCGGGATGCTGTGCTCATGCCTGTAATCCCAGCACTTTGGGAAGCTAAGGCCGGAGGATTGCTTCAGACCAAGGGTTTAAAGCCAGCCAGGGCAACAAAGAAGACCCTGGAGGAAGTAGAAAAGTTTCTCTTCAAAGTTTCCTTTCTCGTTAAAGAATAAATCATAAGTGTTAGAAATAATAGTTTGTTTTAAAGACTTTCTTCAAAGCCTTCTTGCTTTTTGCTAAGAAATCTTTATTAAGCCCTATCCTATGCAGCTGTTAGACACGCTCACAGGCGTGTAGTACATCCTTCCTTGTACTTTTTTTTTTTTTTTTTTTTTTGAAGCAGAGTCTCACTGTCACCCAGGCTAGAGTCCAGTGGCGTGATCTCTGCTCACTGCAGCCTTGACTTCCCAGTTTCAAGTGATCTTCCTGCCTCAGTCTCCTGATTAG